GGTTGCCAGAGAAATTAATGGAAAGGAAAAAGATGGACTGAAAAGAGAGAGAAGTGAAAAAAAGAGAAAGAATCTAATTTTTAACTTCTCCAAATCTGAAGAAATGATGATATGGGAGAGGGTGAGAGGTTAGTTTACATAACTGATTTATCACATTGCCATCCTTCACTGGTAGAAAAGATTTTTAGAAACTTTACCTTAAAAAGATGACTATAAGAATGTCAAAGTACTTTTTCCCATATAAATCCCAAGGTAATTTTTTCCATGATGACTATTTCTAATCTTTTTTCCTCTATGCTATTTCTATTTTAGATTTTAATTTCAAATATCAAATTGTTTCTAAAAAGAACATTTTGATGCTATGATTGCCTTGATGGTGCTTAGTCTGCTCACAGGTATCAGTGTATCATTGCTGAATCAGTAAATGAAGGTGCATCAGTTGTTTTCAACCTACACTGTACTTGCACATAAATCTTGGAGCTTTGGGAAAAACAGATTTTCAGGCCCTATCTTTCACCTACTGAAACATAATTCCTGCGTTGTGCAACCAAAGCACTTTTTATTTTATGTATAAGTAATTCTGATGCAAAAGCAGGCTCAAGAATCCTTAGGTAAGAGAATGTAAATAATGTAGAATGAGACATCAGTCACCACCTGTGGAGTCTGACCTGCAGACCCTGACTCAACCACAGACGAATGAATGCACTCTCACACCATTACAGCATTTCAAGTGGGCTAGGGATGGCCATTGACTGCTTTCAGAGGGCGAAATGCAACCAATCGACCCAGCCTCGCTGTACATCCACACATTTATTCCCTCAAGATTTTATAACAGAGGTTCTAAGTTAACACACTTGTGGATAATTAACATGATTAAAAGAGTAGTCATATGAATGGTAAAAGCTTTAGGTTCTGGGGCCCAGAGTAAACACTATTAACAGGTAATTCCCCTTTACTCACCCCCCGAGTGGGCTATCCAGCACAAAGTTCACGTGAGTAAACAGTTAGAGACAAAGGGATGTGGGGTAAACAGACTTAAACTGGGAAAAGAATCTTATTGCCCTATCTTCCCCCTAACTTAATGGACCTGCCACCTTCGGCCTGCCCCAGTAAAACCTTTCAGCCTTCCAAAAGGTTTGAGACTAATCTATTACTTTTCCCAATATATCTTTAATATTTTGCCAGCCACCCCAACAGGTCGAATTCCAACAGTTAAGCAGTCTCTAAAAGCTCTTACAACTTAAAAATTATATTTATTCACCAAACAAACTTTCAAAAGTAATGTAGTTTTCCTAGTAAAGAGCCAGCAATCAAGAGTCTGCTCATTTCATAAACAGAGGGAGGTCCTCCTCACTCTTAATGGGGCATTTGCAGCAGAAAGCAGGTGGGAGATGATGACAGAATCACCAGTGGAAGTTTTTCAAATGACCCTTTCATCCTCAGAGATGTTAATATCCCCATGGAGGAACACTGGGCTAGAGAATGCAATCCTAATGGCTCTCATCAGATAAACGCCGTCCATTTATTATTCAAAGTTATATTTTTGTTCTACTCTGAGGAGTCATTTATTAACATAAATAAGATTCTATACTTGCCGATAATCATACAACTTGTCATGTTGAAAAATCACCTCATGGCGCCCTTGGCATGAATACACAGTTACGAATGAGAATTTTCTAATTATAGGCTAAGATATTATATTGAATGGAGATCTAAGAGCCTGGAAATTTACATATATAGATGAGTTTCCTTTTTTCTTCTCTTCCAGACCTCAGCACTGTCTGCCAAGTCCTGTGAAAGTAACTCTCCATTCCCGGTTCACCCAGGCACCGCCGAGTGCTGCACCAAAGAAGGACTGGAACGGAAGCTCTGCATGGCGGCTCTGAAGCACCCGCCACAAGAATTCCCTACCTATGTGGAACCCACAAATGATGAAATCTGTGAGGCGTTCAGGAAAAATCCAAAGGAATTTGCTAATCAGTGAGCATTTTCATCATAGAGCTTTAGGGCTTAAGATATCAGAAATGACTCTAATCTAACCCCCTACTCTGTGCAAACACTTCCTCTACAGCAACCTGAACAAATTCTGAGAGCTTGACTCTCATCCAAAACTCAGCTTCCGTTTGGTGCTGAGTTTTGTGTATGTCCTTCTCAGAGATGAAATCAATTTTCCCAAACTCTTAGCAACCCTAATCCTATTATCTGAATCAGAATCACTTGAGTCTCCTGTCCACATGATATATTTTCAAATATTGACAGCCCCTGTGGTGATTTCTCTGATGCTAAAGATCATTGCATATGTCATATGATAGAAGCATTTTATTGCTGTACATATTTTAAGTACTTAATTTCTAGTAAACCATAAAAAATGAACAGCTTTTCTCTTCACTCCTATACATCCCAGAAACATGACATGCATATGTGAATATGAGCATCTACTACATCAAGTAAACATGCAACCTTGATATTTTCATTGTTTAATGGGCATAAGTGACCGGATTACACACTGATTCTTTATGTTAGTCTGGTAGGTCACAAAAATGAACAAAAATGGGTGTAAATACATTTATTAAAGTAAGAAATACATATATATTCAAAAATCAAAAGCAATGTCATTTCAAATGATCACAAATTGCAAAAATTAGTAGGATTGCTCATTCCTATCAATTTTCAAAGAGGATTGAATTTCAGAGTCCCTTTTAGATTCGTAAGGACATCTATTCCCAAAAATAGAAATTATTTCCAGAAAATTAAGTAATGTATACATAACAATTATCTAAAGTAAACTGAGATACATAAGAAAAAGCAAATCTAGTAATTACATTTATTTCAATTAATTCAATCAGCAGCTTAATTAACAAGCAGCTATCATGGGTGATGCACCTATCTAGACATGAAGTGAACAAAGGAACAAATGGCCCCTCCTCTCAAGCAAAAAACACAGAAATTTAGAAATCTATTTTTAATGAATATATTAATAGTGATCAGTATTATAGCCTTTTCTCTAAATTCTTAGTGTTTTTATATATTAAACTATAAATGTAACATATATCCTTGCTCCATCAACATACTTACTAAAAAGTAGGTTTTGGGGGATGAGCATGGTGGCTCACACCTGTAACCCCAGCACTTTGGGAGGCTTACGTGGGAGGACCACTTGAACCCAGGAGTTCAAGGCCAACTTGGGCCAATTAGCGAGACCTAATTTCTATAAGAAATTAAAAAATTAGATGAACATGGTGGCATACACCTGTAATTCCAGCTACTCAGGAAGCTGAAGCAGAAGGATCACTTGAGCCCAGGAGGTTGAGACTTCCACAAGCTATGATTGTGCCAATGTACTCCAGCCTGGGTGACAAGACAAGATACTGGCTCAAAAAAGAAAAGTAGGTTTTGTTTATTCACAACTTTTTTGACTAATTCTATTTTTTCCTCCACAGCTTTATGTGGGAATATTCCACTAATTATGGACAAGCTCCTCTGTCACTTTTAGTCAGTTACACAAAGAGTTATCTCTCCATGATAGGGTCCTGCTGTATCTCTGAAAACCCAACTGCATGCTTTTTGAACGAGGTATGTCCCATTTTACTTATTACATGTTTATGTTTTTTTCTTCTAATAGCATTCCTTTTAGACAATGGTAGAAATTGAGATTTTGCAATCAGTAAAAGTTTCTGAAATGCCTCCCTTTCATCTTGTTAGCTGGAAAATAAATGTAATACCTCTGGAAAAGAAATATCAATAAGTTTCTTTCATCAGTGTTCAGTTTCCTCTTCATAAAAAAAAAAATCATGCAATCATCCCTATCTTTGCCATTTATATGGTTTCCAAGGAACCCTGACCATCTAATGGGATTCTTTCACTTCTTTTCTAGAGACTCCAGATTAAACATTTATCACTTCTCACCACTATGTCAAATAGAGTCTGTTCACAATATGCTGCTTATGGGGAGAAGAAATCAAGGCTCAGGTAAACATTGAGCACCATCCTCATATTTAGAAGTTTAGGTCTGCATTATCTATCCATAATAGTATGGCTCTTTAAGAAGATGTCTGCATTGGAAGATATAAAATAGAGTTTTATGCTTAAATAATCTTTAAAAATATGGCCAAATTGTTTTATTCTCTCTATACAGACTATGAAGAATAAGGAACAAGGTTATGTCATAAACCATGAGATTTGCTTTTAATCAATCTTTACCATATAGTTGACCACTAGAAAATATTTTTTCAGTGTTCATATTAGCATATGTTACAAACAAAAAAGCAAAAGACAAAACAAAAAACCTTTTTATGTTTATTACCTATTATTTGACTTGCCCAATTTTTCTTGGGACAAGACATCTGAATTCTTACTTATGGTATGAAGGCTTGTGTATACAGTATATATCTCTTGCCCTTCATTAATTTATTCTCACTAGTTATCTGCCTTTGTATTAGTCTGTTTTTATGCTGTTGATAAAGATATAACCGAGACTGGGCAATTTACACAAGAAAGAGGCTTCACTGGACTAACAGTTCTACATGGATGGGGAGGCCTCACAATCATGGTGGAAGGCAAGGAGGAGCAATCACATCTTACATAGATGGGTAGGCAAAGAGAGAGCTTGTACAGAGAAACTTCTGTTTTTTAAACCATCAGATCTCATGAGACTAATTCACTATCACAAGAACAGCACAGGAAAGACCCATCCCCATAATTCAATCACCTCCCACTGGGTTCCTCCAACATGTGGAAATTATGGGAGTTATAATTCAAGATGAGATTTGTGTGGGGACACAACCAAACCATATCATTCCACCTCTGGCCCCTCTGAAATCTCATGTCCTCACATTTCAAAGTCAATTATACCTTCCCAACAATCCCCCAAAGTCTTAACTCACTTCAGCATTAACTCAAAAGTCCACAGTCCACTGACTCATTTAATACAAGGCAAGTCCCTCTGCCTTTGATCCTTTAAAATCAAAAGCAGGCTAGTTACTTCCTAGATACAATTGGGCTAAAGGCATTGGGTAAATGCTGCCATTACAAATGAGAGAAATTGGCCAAAACAAAGGGGCTACAGGCCCCATGCAACTTTAAAATCCAGTGGGGCAGTCAAATCTTAAAGCTCCAAAATGATCTCCTTTGACTCTATGTCTCATATCCATGTCATGCTGATACAAGAGGTGGATTCTCATGGTCTTGGGCAGCTCCACCCCTGTTGCTTTGCAAGGTACTCTTTCACAGGCTGGCGTTGAACATCTGTGGCTTTTCCAGGAGCATAGTGCAAGCTGTCGGTAGATCTAGCATTCTGGGGTCTGGAGAATGGTGGCCCTCTTCTCACAGCTCCACTAGCCAGTGGCCCAGTAGGCACTCTATATTGGGGCTCCAACCCCACGTTTCCCTGTATCACTGCCCTACCAAAGGTTCTCAATGAGATCCCTGCCACTGCAGCAGACTTCTGCCTGGACATCCAAGTGTTTCCATACATCCTCTGAAATCTAAGCAGAAGTTCCCAAACCCCAATTCTTGACTTCTGTGCACCCATAGGCTCAATGCCATGTGGAAGTTGCCAAGGCTTGAGGCCTGCACCTTCTGAAGCCATGGCCTGAGCTCTACATTGTCCCTTTTTAGCCATGGCTGGAGCAGCTGCAATGCAGGGCACCAAATCCCTAGGCTGCACACAGCACAAGGACCCTGGGCCTAGTCTATGAAACAACTTTTTCCTCCTAGTCCTCCAGGCCTCTGACGAGATGGACTGCTGTGAAGACCTCTGACATGCCTTGGATACATTTTCCCCCACTGTCTTGGGGATTAACATTCAGCTTGTTTTTGCTAATGCAAATGTCTGCAGCCAGCTTGAATTTTTCCTCAGAAGATGGGCTTTTCTTTTCTATTGCATTGTCTGGCTGTGAATTTTCTAAACTTTTATGCTCTGCTTCCCTATGAAACTGAATGCCTTTAACAGCACCCAGGTAATCTCTTAATTGCTTTACTGCTTAGAAATTTATCCTGCCAGAATGCTTTGCTGCTTAGAAATTTATCTGCCAGAATGCTTTGCTGCTTAGAAATTTATCCTGCCAAATACTCTAAATCATTTTCCTCAAGTTCAAAGTTCCACAAATCTCTAGGCCAGGGGCAAAATGTCACCAGTCTCTTTGCTAATACATAACAAGAGCCACCTTTGCTCCAGTTCCCAACAAGTTCCTCATTTCCAACAGAGACCACCTCAGCCTGGACCTTATTGTCCAAATGCTATCAGCATTTTAGGCAAAACCATTCAATAAGTTTCTAGAAAGCTTCAAACTTTCCCACATTTTACTGTCTTCTTCTAAGCCTCCAAACTGTTCCAACCTCTGCCTGTTACCCAGTTCCAAAGTTGCTTCCACATTTTGGGGTATCTTTTTTAGCAACCCCCACTCTACCAATTTATTGTATTACTCTGTTTTCATGCTGCTGATAAAGACATTCCTGAGACTGGGAAATTTACCAAAGAACGAGTTTTAATTGGCCTTACAGTTCCACCTGGCTGGGGAGGCCTCACAATCATGGTGGAAGGCAAGGAGGAGCAAATCACATCTTACATGGATGGCAGCAGGCAAAGAGAGAGCTTGTGCAGAGAAACTCCTGCTTTTAAAACCATCAGGTCTTGTGACTCATTCACTATCACAAGAATAGTTCAGGAAAGACCTACTGCCATAAATCAATCACCTCCCACCGGGTTTCTACCACAACATGTGGGAATTGTGGGAGCTAAAATTCAAGCTGAGATTTGTGTGAGGACATAGCCAAACCACATCAACCTTATATTTGCAAACTTCCCTTTGACTTTTGTATTACTACTGTTAACCTGTATTTTAATTTTGGTAGTTTCTAGATTGCATGTCTCTCATACCTTCTCAAACATCTAGATTTGCCAACTTTTCTTCCCTCAGTACTTACAGTCACTTTAATTCCTTCTAATATACCCCACAAGCTTTCTTCCTCTAATAGTAATGAAAGAACTTCTTGCCAGCAATGAATAATAATAAGCTTCTGTAATGGAAATAGAAACTACATAAGTTCTTTAAATATAACATTCCCTCAGAACTACTTGAATACTCAATGACAGCTTTTCTAGTTCTTTCTATAGCTTTCTTTTTACACAGAGATAGTGTATTTGGTGGGTAAAGCAGAAGAATTTATAATATAAAGCCACCATATGTACTACTGTCTAGAAATGTACTTCAAGAAAATGTCATTTGCTATGAACAAATATTTAGCCAAAAAATGTTGCTACCACTTTTTAAAATTAAAAAATTAGAGTTTTTTCTAAGTGTTCCAAGTTAATTATGACATTACATATTATTTAAGGCTACACAATATTCCACTGTGTGTGTGTGTGTGTGTGTGTGTGTGTGTGTGTACACCATATTTACTTTATTCATCTGCTGATGGACAAATGGATTGCTTCTGCCTCTTGGTTATTACATTATATTGTTAAAATTATATAATAAAGGAATATTTAATGAAAACTATAAAACATTGCTAAAAGAAATTTTAAAATATCCAAATAAATGGAAATACAGGACATACTTGTGGTTTGGAAGACCTAACACTGTTTAAATGAGAGCAATCTAGAGACTGATGCAATCTCTATCAAAATCCTGCTGGCGTTTGTTTCAGAAATAGAAAATAACATATACTAAAATACTCAAGAGATCCCAAGTAGCCAAAAAAATCTTGAAAAAGCGTAAAATTGGAGGTCTAACACTTTTGGTTTTAAAACATACTACAAAGCAACAGTAATTAAGACAGTGTGATGCTAGCATGAAGACAGATATATAGACCAATGGAACAGAATAGAGAGTCCAGAAATAAACTTTTGGATATATGACCAAATGATTTTCAACAAGGGTGCCAAGATTAAACCATGAGATTAAAAGATAGTCTCCTCAACAGATGATCCTGGGAAACCACATATCTACATGCAAAAGAATGAGGTTGGAACTTTATATAATATATACAAATTAATTCAAAAATAAATTGAAGATCAAATGCTAATACCTAAAACTATAAAACTCCTAGAAGAAAACATAGGAGAAAAGCTGTCAGGATAATGGATTTGGCAATGATTTCTTGCATATGACACCAAAGTACAGGCAAGAAAAGCATAAATAAATAAATGAAACTACAACAAACTTTAAAACTTCTGGCCAGGTGTGGTGGCTCATGCCTGTAATCCTAGATCTTAGGGAGGAAGAGGAGGGAGGATATCTTGAACCCAGGAGTTTGAGACCTGACTGGGCCATACAGCAAGACCCCATTCTCCACAACAAGGAAAAAACAAACAAACAAAAAACTTCTACATATCAAATGACACAATTAACAGAGTAAAAAGGCAACCTACCGCATGGGAGAAAATATTGCAAATCATATATCAGATAAGGGGGTTAATATTAGGAATTTATAAGGAACTTCTATAATTCAACAACAACAAAAACCAAGTAACTTAATTAAAACAAGGATAAAAGACTTGAATAAACAATTATTGAAATAAAATACACAATGGCCAATAAACATGAAAAGATGCTCAAAGTCACTAACCTTAAGAGATATGTAAATCAAGTCTACCACCATACCACTCTGAACATGCCCAATCTCATCTGATCTCAGAGGCTAAGCAGAGTCAGGCCTGGTTAGTATAATACTGGGATGGGAGAAATGCAAACCAAAACCACAGTGAGGTATCCCATTAGGATAATCACTATCAAAAGTACAGAAACTAGCAAATGTTAGCAAAGATGCATAGAAATTGGAATTCTTGTACACTGTTGATAGGAATGTAAAATGGTGCAATCATTATGGAAAACAGTATGGAAGTCCTTCAAAACATTAAAAATAGAAATAACATGCAATGCATCAGTTCTACTTTTAGGTATATATTTTAAAAATTCAAAGCAGGATCTCAAAGAGATTTGCACTTCCATGTTCATTGCAGAATTATTCACAATAACCAAGAGGTGGAAGCAACCCGTATGTCCATCAACAGATGAATGGATAAAGACAATGTGGTATATACATACCATGGAATATTATGTAGCCTGAAAAAAAGAAGAAAATCTTGTCACATGCTACAAGGATGAACCATGAGGACTTTCATTATGCTAAGTGAAATAAACCAGTCTCAACAGGACAAATACTATATAATCCCACTCATATGAAATATTTAAAGTAATCAAAATCATAAAGACAACAAATAGAAAGGTGGTTGCCAAGGGATAGGAGGGTGAGGGAGGGGAAGTGGGGAGCAAATCAGTGTTTAATGAGTATGGAGTTTTAGTTTTACACAAGAAAAATTTCTAGAGATCTGTTGCAAAGCAATGTAAATATACTTAAATACTAAACTGTACACCTTAAACATGGTTAAGATAGTAAATTTAATGTCATTTTATCACAATTTTTTAAAATAATATTTTATCATATTCATGATATATTAGGAATATTAATATTTAAAAAAAACCTAATGATACTCCTGGTATATTAAATGAAGAAGACAAATATGAGAATAGTATAGCATACCATTCACATATAAAATACTTAAAGTTTACACACCCAAAATGTGAACAGTTATTAACTCCATGGTAAAGCTAAAAGGTCTTTTAATACTTCTTTTATCTATAGTTTCTAATAAAATTTATAAAAAATACTTTTTACAATTTATGAGAGGCCACAAAAAAATACAACATTGGCCTTATGAATAGAGGGAAAGAGACATTTGTGATTGCTTCACTAATGCTTTATAGCGAACATTTTAACTATATAGAGCTTTAACTATATAGAGCTTGGAAGAAGAGAACCTGCATTTGAGTACTGAACATTTGGAAAGATTCATTAGGGATCTTTCAATCTTGAGTCTTTGGCTTTGGTACATAAGATCTATCACATGGCAGATGTGCTCCCGTGTAGCTCTTGAGGCCAAAGAGTTGAAACTGTGATATTATTTCTCCCAATAGTGTGTTCATCTTGAAACCAAGAAAACTGAGAATGTTGATAAGCTAACAAATTTATTTTTAAATGTTTAGCAATCTCATAAAGTTAGGCCAAAAAGTGCCTACTGCTGATCTGGAGGATGTTTTGCCAGTAGCTGAGGATATTACTATCGTCCTCTCCAAATGCTGTGAGTCTACCTCTGATGACTGCATGGCCAAAGAGGTAAGACAATCTTTCTTATCATTATCACCATGTACCAGGTATTGAATGCCAAGTGCTGAGTGGCAGGCACTCTTCTTTTTTTTTTTTTTTTTTTTCACTTCAAATTAAAGAACTTTATTTTAGTATTTCTTGTAGTGCTGGTGTATGGACAGTTCCATTTTGTTTATCTGTAGATGTCTTTATTTTGCCTTTATTTTTTTCCCATTTATTTATTTCATTGCATTTTAGGTTTTGGGGTACAAGTGAAGAACATGCAAGGTTGTTGCATAGGTACACACGTGGCAGTGTGATTTGCTGCCTTCCTCCCCATCACCTACATCTGGCATCTCTCCCCTTGCTATCTCTCCCCAACTCCCCATCCCCCACCGTCCCTCCCCTATTTCCCCCCAACTGACCCCAGTGTGTAGTGCTCCCCTCCCTGTGTCCATGTGTTCTCATTGTTCAACACCCGCCTATGAGTGAGAACATGCGGCGTTTGATATTCTGGCAGGGACTCTTCTAAGCCCTAGTTCATGTGCATTATCTTCATGGATGCTCACATGTATTCTACGAGACATAAATAATAATTCTTAGTGCCACTGTACAGATGAGGAAACAGAAAATTAGCAAGGGTCAATAATTTGAGACCACACAACTAGTAAGTGGCAAAGTCCATATGCAAGGATGAGATTATCTGATTCCCAAGACCTTATGCTACTTGCACTGTATGGTATTCATCACCACATGTGGTCTTTTAAATTTAATTTTAAAATTAAACATAGTTATAATTGAATATGATTTAAAATTCAGCTCTCCAGTTACACTAACCACATTTCAAATGCACAGTAATATTGGACAGTGCAAATACAGATCATTTTTATTATTGCATAAAGTTCCATTAGGCAGCACTTCAACCATTATACTAGTAGAAGCTACTACTGTTTTTATTATACTTTTTATAATTTGATGCCCATCTCAATTTTTTTTTTTACCATTTTTCGTTTTCAAAATCCTTTAAAACTATGCAAATAATTGCTTTAGCTGAAGGTCCGTCTCCAAGGTCTTGTCAATCTCTGTAGTAATAGATACATTGTGTTGCCTTGTCCTTTTCCATTAAAAATGCATGTCTGTGTTAATAGATGTTTTTCTATAAGGATTTATAATGGCAAAATAGGAGTCTGTTGCATATATCTATGTCATGTATTACATCGGTCTACCTAGACACAGCATATTTTTATTTTATTAATCCTCTATTGTTGTATTTAGGTTGTGTTGGTTTTTTAATATTTTAAGCAATGATGCACTTAATAGCCTTATAGTGGTTGTCCTTTTATCCATAATTATTTTCTGACCATAAATTTTTAAAAATAAAATTGTACATTTTTAAGACTTTTAGTACATATTGACAAATTGCCTTTCCAAATATTTTACCAATTTTCTGAGAGTATTCACACTGACTTTCATAAATATGATGCCAAAGCCTATGTAATTTTTATTTTAAATTAGACTATCAGGAAACTGACAATGCACAAACCATTTGTTTTGTAGCTGCCTTTACACACAGTAAAAATCTGCGAACATTTATCCACAAAGAATTCTAAGTTTGAAGACTGTTGTCAAGAAAAAACACCCATGGATGTTTTTGTGTGCGTTTACTTCATGCCAGCTGCCCAGCCCCCTGAGCTTCCAGATGTGGAGTTGCCGACAAACAAAGATGTGTGTGATTCAGGAAACACCAAAGCTCTGGATAAGTAAGTAGTGGCCATGTGAAAATGTGTTCCCATTTTAAGTTCTCTGGACAAAAAGTGGGGGCCAGACAGATGAAGGGAAGGTTTGCTGTCATCCATTTCAAACATAGGCAAAGTACTATTTTTATGCTTTTCACGGACTTTAAATAACTGTTAACCGATTATAAATGATTAGAATTTTTAAAGCATCACAATTCATTGAATTTGACAGAAAAATTTTGGATAGCGAGAAAGAAGCTTAGAGTTCTAATTCTGCCTTCTTTGATTCCTGTGCATGGCCCGAAGAAGTGACTTGACAATTTTGAACTTCAGCCTATCGTTAATTAATTTGAAAATGTTAATACTTGCCTTACTTAGCACACAGATTGCTAATGAGAAATACATGCAGGAATGTAAGTGAAAGTAAATGTGAAAACATATCTTTGTATACAATGCTGAACATCTGTAAAATACACAACCAGAAATGTTTATCATATTATTTACTAGTTTTATCATAATACTTCTGGTTTAAAGTCACAAATCAAAAGCCTAAAGTATACTAAACTTTTAGACAATAAGCATTTGATGCAAATAAAAGAAATAGCAAACACAAAATATTTTTTCTTAGCAATTATTGATATTCATTTTCATTAAATTTAAAAAGAGATTAAACCAAAGAAATGGTAAGTTTTTATCTTGTTTCATCCAACTAAAAAAAGAAATAAAATAAACATACCATGGGTTGAATAGATGTGTATACATACTCGTGGCTTAAAAATATTTCAGTAATAGGCCAGGCGCAATAGCTCACGCCTATAATCCCAGCACTTTGGGAGGCTGAGGCAGGTGGATCACGAGGTCAAGAGATTAGCTGGGCATGGTGGTGCATGCCTGTAGTCCCAGCTACTCAGGAGACTGAGACAGGAGAATTGCTTGAACCCAGGAGGCGGAGGTTGCGGTGAGCCAAGATCATGCCATTGCACTCCAGCCTGGGTAACAAGAGCGAAACTCTGTCTCAAAAA